AAAATTTTCTTATAAATGAGTAGTATTCATACACTTATTAATATAACAGTGGCATGAAAATACAACTTTGCTGATGACAACTTTGTTGTCCAAGCGAATAAACTTAATCTTTTCTATTCTCAGAAGCATTTATGGAAATTTTCAGCATAGCAGAACGAAAACCCGCCCCAAAACTAGATAATGTCAGAGAACGTGGTTCGGGCTAACAGGCCTTACCTTTTTGACTCAATCTGAAGTGTAAAAGCAGTTTCACCTCTCTTTGCCTCTAAAGTCGTAGGAGACAGTTCAAGTGAGCCATAGTACCATGATATTTTATCACCTAGATTGCCACCTAATGTGACTGCGGTCATGAAAATCCGACTAAGCAGCACGTTATTTCCGAATGCCCGCTGCGAAGTTCGACGCCAGCATAACTGATGTCCAGAATACTACCGCGGCGGTCATTCACTAGCTTAGAAATCTTGACATTGACCTATAAAGTTGCTAGTCATCTTTTCCAGCCATGCGACAGAAGAAAACCTAGATTGTCCAGTTTAACACCTAGATAAATGAGCATGACATCGTTGTCATTGCAAATAACCATGACTGTACATGTTAGCTTGCGCGGCGTTACTGCAACGCTCTCTTGTTTATTGAATCGGCTGGGCGGTACAATAACCCAGGATAAATCAGCTGGGAGCTGGATATTAATAATTACTAATAACCATGTTCACTAATATATTTTTCAACTTTAGGGCACACTTATTTACCTAGTTCACGAATAAATGCAACCAGATTTGCAGTTGTGCTTTAGACCGTGTAGTTGTTTCTGGTACAATTTCTTCCTTAATAGGTTTAAATAAACTTTTACTGTCTTATCTGTCTAATAAACCGTGTATAATAGACCGGGATTGGTCATCAGTAAGGCGTTAGACTAAGAATTGAGAGCTTCCAGGTTGAGGCCGCGGTCGGGTCACTCGAAATTCGCTCTGAGGTAGATAAATAAGTAGCGCTTTGCTGGAAGTAAAAATGAGCCTACAGTTTATATTGATGATCACTGTCTTGTATGTACAGCATTAAAAAAAATTAAGTCGCCCCTGCAGAGTAGGCCGCATCAGATGCTTCACGAAAAAGAAATGAGTTACAAATAAAGCCCAATCATGAACGTGTAAGAGACCTTCATCTGAATGATTAAAAACTCTGTTTCTTTAATAAAAATGAGAAATGGAACGACATTGGAATTACAAGTAAGTTCTAGCCATGGCTGACTGTATCTTTCCTAGAACGGCAGTCCGTGGAAACGATTTGGGAATCCAGTCATAGATATCCAAAGCAACGTTGAAGACATACGGGTTCCATGTAACAGCTGCAGACGTCATCAAAATCAGCTCAGAATCCCCTGGTTTAAAAAAAGGTTTAACAAACGATTTCACTCATGAATGCCGCCATTATCACTCAGTACTTCTGAGAGAAAAAACAACCTAAAAAAGTTGTTCAAGTAAGCTACGAGACGCGAACGCTTTGGAGATGATGCGAGCGAAGGTGGTCAGCTTTGCGGAAGATTGTCAGAGGGTTATAAGGAAGGACGGCGAGACTATCGCCACCAATCAGCGGTAAATTGCAATCGACAGACATAAGTTATTCAAATCAAAAGAAAGCTATTACTCAATCAGAGAATGTTGCGGTGAACGAAGTTGTTTTCGACTGGCATCAGCAGCTGAGTTCTTCGAAGCCGACACGCGAGCTGACTGATTATGCCTGTGAAACCGTTTAGCTTCGACAGGGTACGATTGATCATGCTGCCCAGGAGAGGTGTCGACGGTCACTCCAGCTCCTCTTAAGACGCTAGCTTCTTCCATCGTCAAGGCGATATCGGCAACGAAACCACCTGCAAAGAAATCAACTTTAAACCGCTGTACCGATCTGTAATACTTGAGGAATTATTAACCTTTGTGATGCAAAATTTTAATAGTTTTTAGCTATCTTTTATCGCTTCCGACGCAAAGTTTCGCCTGGGTTTATATCTGTACATCTTAGGTCGACGAGAGTTTTAAACTAACACCCCCTTCCGACATGGGGGGAATGGTTACAGTCAGTGAGTCTAATGGGTAAGAGAGAGCTATGAAATTTGCTGCGTTACTTGCTCCCTCATTTGTGCAGAGTTTGTCGAGAAATTTGTCAGTTATACGAAATTTTCAAAGCACACTAAGCAGGAAATGTGCGATATGGGATTCAGATTTCTAGGGATATTTTTAACAGAAATACGCTTAATTGTAGACGCGGTTTAGAGTACTAGTTTCTTGTGAAGGCACCGTGACCATTAAGGCAAAACTATCATAAACAAAACTATTCTCGACAAGGGAGAAACGAGAATGAAAAAAACGTCATAAGCAATATATCTGCGCGTAAATAAGCGCAGCAGAACAAATGTTTAAATAGCAGTAATTGCTGCAATGTTCCCTGTTACGAACATGCTTCCTGACTGGGAAGGCTTTTCTATTTTGCATGCCCAACAACATTGATTCATAAGTGTTGCAACAAAGATAATAATCAGTTCTGTTAGGTGCTATGTTAAATAGCATTTAAAATACGTTTCATATAGAAACGAGCTCGTTTATCTTAAATAATGGGAAAGAACAAGGCTATGCCTTACCGGACATGTTGGTCATTGTCGCTAAATTGACAAAACCAGTCTCTGCTCTGCATCCTCATAAAAGCAACTGGAGAAGAAGCATCGGTGACTAGTTCAATTCGACGGAAAAATATACAATATTCTATTAGTGTTAATTACCTTTGCCACCGGCAAAAAGTCCATCTGTGAAAGCCCAAAATCGAAGGTACCTGATGGACACAAACCGGACAACGGCGTGTCCTCGTAGCGCCATAATTCACACTTTCGCAGCGAGCAGTTAAAGTCAAGTACTGTCGTTAATGTGCTAATAAAATTAAATTGCACAGCGTTGGTGGTCAGCCACCCATTAGCGAATAGATTGCGACCGACAGAAAGCAAAAGAGCAATGAGCAGTGCAGTACGTCTTTCGCATCCACGTTCATAGCAATAGGAGTCTTTAATAAACAGTGAAAATCGTTTTTTACTCCATTGGCACTTTTCCT